TATGCAGCTCAAGAGTCTCCCGCCTTTCACGTGCCATACGAAGCGACCGAGCCGTCGAAAGTGGTCGGGCGGTCACTAAATGGGCGCGCAAAAGGCAAAAGATCCTTGGGGGGAAGGGATGCTGTAATTTACCTGAGATTCGGCACCACCCTCGGCTTCCTCAAGGCGTTCGGACAGCTGGATGACCTGCACGCTCAAGTCGGCACGCTCGCGTTCAATCTGAAATGCCCAAGTCGTTCGTTTATTTTATGCCACGAGTGCCTTCTCATTTTACAAAAGTTTTAAATATTCAAAGACTCGTGGAAAAAAAGTCTTGTGAGCCTAATGGAAAAATTATAAATTGGTGTTCGAATGAACTTGATGGTATGCGATTTTAAAAATAAATTATAAGCAATTGTATAGATTTGATTGGTTGGAAATATGGGGATTTTAAATGTAGTGGTAGAAGCAATATTTGTTAATCTCGCCGGTCGGAATAATGTCGTTCGTTATCACTTTCAATAGCAATTTCAATGATGAGTATTATCTAACGATAATTTTCAATGAAATTCATTGAGGATATATGAGATTTCTTATACGTTAATGTCACAATTCTTAACCAAACGACTAGAGTGTATAATTTTCAATGATAAAAACATTCCGTTGGTTGGATATTATTATTTGCCATACCTTCATCGTACCTTATTTTAATAAACTAATATACATTCAACTCATTTCGCTAATTTTCATTATTATGCATTTATCATCTATTTTGTAAACAGTGGTGTTGAAATAATGTCGTTTGATTCGCAATAAATGTTAGATTAAATTAATAAATAAATTTTCATCATCTAATTGTTCGAATTTTGCACAATTATTCTCGCGTTCAGAGCTCTTCAGTGTTAACGTAATCTTTACTCGCAATTGTACAATGTGCAGCATCTATTTACCATCACGAACAGCCACTCAATAATGATTACTTTAATTACGCTAGATTACCTGATTACTAATACGGAATATATTAATTCGGAAGGGATATGATAAAAATTACTTAGTTATGGTAATAAAATCGTGGACAACGAGACGACGACGCCGATTACCCTAAACCGCTGACTTCGCCAATAATTCGGAAATGACGGTTATCCATAAAATCCAGTATCTCGCGACAAAAAGACGGATGCGGAAGTTCGCGTCCCGTTCCCATTGTGATGTAACGCCGTAGCGGCGATTCAGGCATACTAACTCAACGTCTCTGTGCACGAGGTCATTGTTTCGGAAACGAGACGGATGACTGATTAGGCACGCTTGAGGAGGCTGGGGAGGCTGGGAAGGTGTTAGAGGACATCTCATCGTCTACGATATTATTGCCGCGGTGTCGGTCGTAATCGCGGTGATGCGCATGCGTAAACGCGAATAGCCGCAATCTAAATCCGTGCGCCCGCTTCTAAATCCGGCGCTTTATTCGGATTACAAACGAGGTACTGGGCCACTCGCTCCCTCATCCCATTGCGAAAATGGCGCCTCCCGGACCTCCCGCGATTGCACATCTTTTTGTTAAGCGCATGCACCATTATTTGCTTACGGTTTGCTCAAAAGCTGTCGGGCCAGCGATATTATATTGATGGGGATTTGGGGGGGGGGGGGAAGGGAGGGAGATACGTCGAGATGTGGGCGCTGGTTTGGATAAATTCTTTCGATGGCCAATTAAACGGCCAATGATTTATCATGCCATTCGTGTCTTGTCGCGTCGTTTGCGCTCGCGGTTCATGATAGTTTGGATTTCTCGCGCAGACCGCGAAGTAAAGAGAAGTTCGTTAAGGTTTGTTAAGAGATTGTTTAACCACCTCGTTTAATGTGGGGCAGCGTGTGCCTTAGGGATCGTGAACTCCCCTGCTATTTCCAGACGTCTCGTTTAAACGAATCAACAGCCGTAGCGCGTAAATTGAGCGAAGTTGAATATCCCCGCGGATATTCCAAGCGGAATTTTGTTTATATTACGCACAATAGGCAAATTATAGGAACGGCATCCTATATAAGTATTTGACTGTTTGATCTAGATTTTTAAAGCGAAGGTAGTTTTCAATACTTGGATAAATAAGTGTTGATAAACGAATACGATCACTTTTTCTCACTGGTGAGAAATTAATTACTCGACTATTTATAAAATTTCAAGGGAACAAGAGTTTTTTTTTTTTTTTTTTTAAATAATTACTATTAAGGGTTGTTAAACGATATCTTCATTCGGGGTATTCTTTACTCTACTCTCACTTATAATTTTCTTCTTAATTGTTCTATTTCAAATTAAGCAAGTACTTAATTATAAGTAACGTAAGATAAACTAATAGATTCTACAGTAACTTCCCTTGAATTAGTTAAAATGCTCCTTTTAAGCATTCGTAATATTTATGTCTTTCGAGGGGTTACAACAACTTTATTATCTATTTTTACGAGCTATTTTCTAGAATAAAAACTACAGTTCGCGCAGCTAATAGAGTTGGTAATGTGTAATGTCGTCCTATCGCGCACTTTATGACAGTGAGAACACTCGAATGAAAATTTATTCCAGTCACAGAGTGAATAATATGTCTTTAAAAGTTCATTATAAATAAAATAATTATATTTATCTAATGAATATCGAGATAAATAATGATGCTAAGCTTGGAATTTGGGTTTATAAGAATTCAGCTAAAATACACTACGGATACAATGACATTCCACGTATAAATAGTCACGGAAATAACAGATGAGTTGGATTATTCATTGTCCAATCGTGTTCGAAAATACAAATAAAAATGAGAACTAATTTTACTTCTTTCACGGTAACGTACTTTTATGTGTGCGTGTTCGCGCGCGCGCCCCCGCGCCCGCGTGTTGTAATAAATATTCAAGTTAAAACTAGACAAGTAATTCTTATTATTTAGAATGGACATACTATTAAGAATATTTTCGAAAAATAAATTCGCAAAAGCAAACGTAAGTTTTGATCTCCGTATTTTAGTTTATATTCATTTGTTTTACATTGGTTACACATGTTTTCCAAAATAAACTTGATTTTACTGCAACATAAAATACATGCATTATCCAAGTTAGCAATGTAAACTACACACAAAAAGAGCTTCATTCGTTCATTATGCACGTTATACACAAGTCGAATAATATTGTTCATAAAAGTCATCTTTAAAGATGTTTAGAGATATTTTTTATGTCGAATGATGTGAGTATTTATGGCAGCTATTGCTTAAAGTACAAATTTAAAATTTAATTTTCCTACTATGCAAGTCGGCTTGGAAAGTAAACTTATTTTCAGAAGACCTTTTGTTCCCACTTGCAACGTAAGAAGGTTGTTTTAACTATTTTCTGAAATAATTTTAGAAATCATGCGTTTAAGAGAGCGGTCGTCGGTGCCGATATGAAAGCATGACCGAAGAATTTCGAATTCTTGCCAATCTCCGGTAGTTTTTCCGTATTCCTATATTCTTTAGCTCAGAAGGCCAATGAATTCTTTAGTTCATCAAACGTCGAGAATGACAGCCTCGACATTTAGCACGGATTGAGGAGTTTCGAATAATATTCGGATTCTTAAACGCGCTATAGAATGCAAATTATTTCTGAAATTACGTAAAATACATCTAATCTCAAGTGCTTCAATGAATTCTATTCATTCATACTTCTATGTAAGCGAATTACTTAACTCTAACTATAACAAGTAGAGAATTGATAAATGGAAACTTTTAAATAGGAGTGCACGTTCATTAAAAGCCAGCATTAATGGATAACAAGTGCAAATCATTAGTTTAATCATGGTATTAATAAATATATTACCGACTATTTTAATACTAAGTCTAGCATAGTATTTCAGTGTACTTAAATACTATTTAGCTTTTTGACGAATTAATATGCTAAAAATACTGTCCTATCATACGTACTCTATGCCTAGAAATTTCGTTCCAATGATTATAAGATTTTCAGATAATTAATTATGGAAACGGGTACATTAGATGTCAGAATTAGTGTCATTCTTTTTTCTGACATATATATATATATATATATAAATTGCTGTCCCTTTTTTTTTAAAATTATTATATTTTTCTTTTAAAAATTTTTTTTCAAAAGTGGCTGTAATACAATAGTATTCAAAAACTCGTAATTACTATTTTTCATAAATTTATTATGTCCAATGCTTCATTCATTTTTATATAAAGTTTTAGAATTTTAAAAAAGTTGTAACAATCATCTTATAAACAAATAGATTACAATGTGATAGTCTTTTTATCATCTATACATTAGCTAAATTAGTTTTTTTACGTATATTTATTTTTAACCCCAAAGCTATAAATATAACTTTTATATAAAGTAATTATTAATATTTTTCATAACTATAGAATATTACTTGAATAAAGTGCATTAATTAAGCAAAATACAATCCAATTTTATACATAAGTCAAAAAAAAGAAAAAAAAATCTTCCAATAATTTTCCAATATTAGTATTATTCTGTTTATTTTACGTATATTTTGTTTTAATAATGTCTAAACCATTCGATCTATCGAAATATTAACCTTGGAGATTGACACTTGACTCGTATACTTTTCATAATAAATAGTCATCATTATACACACATACTCCCTTTATTTATATATATATATATATATAAATATATATATATATACATATTACTCGAAATTCTTAATCTAGTCTTATAAAATTAATATTTTCTTATCTTATCCCTTCTTACCAAATAAATCAATTAATATGACAATTTAGTTCAAGTTATTTCATTGAATTAATTAGGTGTCTGAAAATCTTTAGTGCTGGATAAATCAGCTAACTATTTTAATGATATGATCTGACCTGACGATGAAGATCTTATTATAACAACTTTGCGAGAAATTAGTTTATAAATAATATAAATAATTAATCATTAATGTGTGAAGATCGATGGTTGTCTCGACGTTTTCCAAGGATTAACTACAATTGTATCGCTTAGGAATTTTGGAAGATTTTAACCAGAACAAGGTCCAATGAATTTATATCCAATGGTCGTAAATTTATAATAAATAATCTCAAACGACAATGTAAAATTATGTGCCAATGTGAAATATGTTTCGAAGCTATTAGCTTCAAAGTAACGTATAATTATAAGTTTTCGGGATAGTTAAGACAACAATTCTCATAAAATCAATTCTATGTTGGACCAAACAACAGTTACAGAACCGGCACATATAAAATATAAGTCAGAATATTTAAATAACCAGTCGTTTGTTTTGATACTTAAATCAAAGTTTCAACATCCCGGCAATTCTCGTGCGGCAATCTGTAAAAGCGACCGAGTGCTCTCGAGGCTAATCGACGACGCCGACGCTACCTCCCACCACCTCCTGGAAGGCGTTGCGTCGCTTCCAGGGCGAGCGGACGCGGCTACCGCGAGAAGCGCGACGGCGCGGTAAAGGAACTGGTGGGCGGGAGAAGGAGGCCGACGACTCGCTCCCCAAAAATAGCAGCGAGGCCCGAGCTGGACATATCAACCTGGTAAATGCCGACGGAGGAGTGTAGACGCGAGCCTCGTCGCCATCTTCGGAGTCGATGACGACGTCGTCAAGCCAACATCAGACAATGTTGTATTTCGACGGGGCGGGGAGGAAGGGGGGGGGGGAGTTCCAGGTGCCGAAAATAATTTTTTGCGCCTGGAAATGCTTGGTCGGCGCGCTTTTACTTTCATCTATATTATTTCCCCGGCGCTTTCCTATCGCTCACTCTCTCTCTCTCTCTCTCTCTCTCTCTCTCTCTCTCTCTCTCTCTGTATCTTTCCGTCTTTCTTTGTGTCTCTTTCACTTCAGCCTCCATACTAAATTTTCGCCCCGTACGTCATTCAAAGTTCTTCTCTCTTTTCTTCATCGCATATTCAGCGTCCCTAATAACTACCGCGTGTCCTTTACGATTGTATGCCTTGAATCAGTAGGAATACATATGACGTATCATTTGTGATTTTTAATCTAACTTGTTAAATTCTCGGTGTGATGTATGTTCGAGAGATTTTTAATTGTCCATTTTTCACCGAATGGGTAAGAGCTTGAACATGTTTTTTTTTTTTTTTCTAGTAAAATCAAAGATTTTACGAATCACGAGGAATCAAAAGTATTCGTAAAGCACATCGACTAATGGCGTTTCATGTTTAAATAGAGATTTTGTTAGCTACAATAATCTTTTAATATGCAGGGCGATAGGAAATTATGGTTGTAAATATTGTAATTATAATATTCTAATCGGTTTTTGTAGAACTCTATTATACGTGTCAAGTAATTAAATTATTAAATTGCTAGTAATTACATTAATAGAAACTAATTTAAAAATCATTTAATGAAAATTACATACTGTCTGTTAATTACATTGTTACAAAATTTAATGTTACTTTCTAATATGATTTTTCAATAATTAATAATCGATATTTTTCATATACTTTAATTCCAATAATTTCATCTCAATGACATATTATTTAATATTTGCAGAAATGCAACCAATTAGGCAAGATGGAGTTATCGTTATAAATAAATAATGATGGGTAAAAGTGATTGTAGCTTGGCTCGGCTAAAGAATATTGTTTATGTTTTTCGATTAGTTCAGAAATCGTAGAATATCGTCCCTGATGGTCTTGTAACCGCATGACTTTTTAAGAAAATCATTATACGCACAATTTCATAGGACTTATAAACGAATGTCGTTTATTCATTATTCATCGTCTATTCGCCAAACTTACATGATGCACAAAAAAGGCTTTTATTTTGCTTCGTTCATTGTCTGATTTTAGGGATGAACCATGGACAAGGATGAGCGAGTGTTGGATTTGGAGGAGGGGGGAGAAAGTACGAAAAACAACTTACCCTCTGACGCAGTTCCCTCTCACACTCAATGTCATCCTGTAGGAGGCGGATTTTGTCCTGAAATCATAAATCATAATAAGCTTTCGCCATATTTTTTTCTATCACACAGTACAGTAAGTGTGCACGATGGCGACCGAAGCACCTGGTGGCCGTGGTAGGGCGGGGTGGGCAGAAAGAGACCAAGTGAACGAACGAAGTATCGGGCTCTGAGACACGAGGCTTTCCTTCATAATGCTTCGCGAGGCCGCGACAACATCTACGACAGCGGCTCCGATGGTCTTTCGACTTTACGTAATCGCCGGTACAGAAATATCCCCCTAGTCGGCGCTCGGGGAAGAAAACGAGGAACTGACCCGCGCGACAGGAATTCACATTGCTTCCTTTGCACTCGACGATAGACGCTCGGCTTTGCCAATCGCCGCGCGCGTTCCTCATCATTTTAACTTACCTCGGCTCTGCCCGGTCCCGTGGACCCTAACCCTTTTCTCGAATTAGGTTACGCGCATTCCTCGCACGAATCGCGTCTCATTTCCGCGGGCTTTCACTATTTTTGGAATGACTCGGCGTTTGGCCGCCCTCTCGACGCGGCTACCTCCCCTCCGCCCCACCGCCGCTCGTCTTACACGACTCTGGTCCCCTTACTCCTCCTCACCCCCTCGCCCAACCAAGTAACCCCCTTGGCGCGCATCCCCCCCCCCCCTCCCTCCCCCTCACCATCCGCCCCTCACTCACTCTCTCTCACTCTCTCTCTCTCTCTCTCTCTCTCTCTCTCTCTCTCTCTCTTCCCCGCCGCCCCTTTTTCTTTTTTCACCGTCTCCTCTGCCCTCTCCTGCCGCCGATGCTCATTAACGCTTCGCATTCGTTTCCTTCGTATATTTAGCTTGAATGGATGGAGCCCGCGAGAAAAGGTATAAGCGCAGGTGGAACAAAGCGAGCCACCGGTGCTAACTATAAAAAGGCGCGACGGTCATTCATCGCGTTGGTTCCAATTTCGAAATAGGAAGGAGGCGCCAGAAAATTATCCGAGCCGACGATCGCGCTAAAGGAGAGCGCCGAGACTCAAGATGCGCGATCGTCTCATCACGATATTTCTTGCCTAGCCGACAGCATCCGACTATTTTCGTACGTCGGGCAGCACTTTGGCGCGGTACAACAACACGTCAGGCTGCGAACACCCGATTGGCACTAGAGTCCTTTATGGTCACTGAACTTTTGCTGTCGCGGCACAGGCTCTTCTCTCGCTTTACTTTACATCACAATTATCATCGGCTGACGCCTCTTCCTTCCGTCTCTACCATTGTTTATCTATCACTGTTCGGTCGATCACTTGGTCTTTCACTACGGTCTCTTGGCCAACTCCACTACTTCGTCATGTACCTTACGCATCGTCGCACATTATATCTCTCCAATCCTTTCTTCACTCCACCCCATCCCCCAATCCTCATCCACGCAGCCACGACAACCACCCCCGTGTACATATTACGCCGTGGTACGGCACTTTATTACGACTCTATTACGACTCGCTTAACACGATTCTCCCCCGAGTTCATATTCAATGGAAGATGGTCAAAGAATTCCTCTATCCCTTAACCGTCTGTCCTCCCCCATCTCCCCCCCCCCCCCCCCCCCCCCCCCCCCCTAGACAAACCTCCACCGTCATCGATTATAAACGATCTTCGATATTTCTACGAGAACAAGTAATTTTAAGACGCTCCGCATTCGCTTGGCCAGCTTACGAGAACATTGGCATCTAGAGAATCGCGAATACGATGTGACATGCGCGAGCGAAACTGCGAAATTGAACTTTCGTCCATTCGGCCACGCACGCGATAATGACTCTGGCTACCGGGACTTAAGCATTAAATACAGGTGAGATGTACGTACCTCGAGTCTGGAGAGAGCGCTCAGGTCGGCACTGTACTCTATGCTGACGTCGGCCTGTCCGCCGCCAGGTCCACTACGATACGAGTACTTCGAAGTTTTGGCTACCGCCGAAGACATGTCGCCGGCTTACTCGTGCAAACTCTCGTGCCCGCGATATAGAATGGAAATTGACGAATAAGAGCCTCGATAGCTTATTATCGGCCGGGCTAACGTTTCGTGATGCACTCTGCTGCACGCTCTCTTCTCTCTCTCTCTCTCTCTCTCTTCTCTCTCTCTCTTCTCTCTCTTCTCTTCTCTTCTCTTCTCTCTCTTCTCTTCTCTTCTCTTCTCTCTCTCTCTCTCTCTCTCTCTCTCTCTCTCTTCTATGTATCTCTGGTCCTCGGCTATTCGTTCCTCGTGCCCGCAGACTCTCGTGAAGCTGCCCGTCGGTCGATCAGCGATCAGAAGCCCCGTGCCAGCCCCTGCGCGGCTCGATTATTCCAAGCGGGCGTCGATCGGCGCTCCACGGCCAAGAGAAACTGCGACTGCTCGGCAGCCCGATGCAGCAACGCGCTCTCTTATCTCTCGGCTCCTCCTCTTGGCTCAAGCGTTTCGGGTGCGCTAGGCACTCGTCTGCGTTCTCTCGTTGGTTCGCCGGGGGGGGAGGAGGGAGGGAAGGGGTGTCACGGAGCCGACCAGCGCCCTACTCTTAGTGCGCGACTCGTCGTCGTTCGTATGACGCGCCGGCCGCTCCATGGTCCTGTCGGGTTGCCCGTGCAAACGCGCGTGCGCCCTAGATCGTCGCCCTCCCCTATCCCTGCCCCTCTTCCTAGACCGCCACCTCCGCTTCCGCCACCGCCACCACCTCCCACACACACACACACGCGCGCGCGCACACACCCGCACACACATGCGCCACCCCACCGCCGCTCGGCCCCGCAAGGGCGCGGAACGACGCCAACGGTGACACTGCTGCTGCCCCCGCGGCACGCGTGGGTGGCCGCCGACTTTCCCTCCCGGCTCCCGGCGCACCTCCGCGCACACTACCGCTCGGCCACGAGAGCGCATGGACAGGCCAATGGAGATCGCGCCAACTGCCCTCCGTCCGACCTGCCTGACACGCGCTGGTTTACGCACACTCGGTCACTTCGGGAATTCGACTCGCCGCCGCGTCCAATTAAAGGGGCCGCTTTCTCCTCCCTCTCTCTTCTCTTCTCTCCTTTTCTCTCTCTCTCTCTCTTCTCTCTCTCTCTCTTCTCTCTCTCCTCTCTCTTCTCTCTCTCTCTCTCTCTCTCTCTCTGTTTGATTTGCGTCTCGCGATCATCGACACATCACCGTGGATCTGCGCAATTGAAAGCGCCAGGTTCATAGGTGACAAGACTCGGCCTAACTTTATAATACCAGCCCACTTTCCCCAATACTGACTTAATTCGCGCAAAATTACAAAAATTCGATCAACTGTCAATTCGGATTACACAATGGCTGGTCCATTGAAATATTCGTGAGCTTTTATCTGTTCTTTGGACTTAGTATGCGATCTCGAGATTGAGGACTGATGGGGACTGATGGCATTGTCTCGTTATAATTTCTTCTTGCGATTAGCTACTTTCCGTCATTTCAAACTATACAATCTTTCGAAGTATCCTTCCAACTACAGCAATACGAATTTCTAATTAAATTTTCGTGGCGTTAAACCGTATATTTAAAACTGCCACTATTACTCCACCTCTAACTCAATCTCTTTAATCTATTCTATGGGAATATTTATGTGTTAAGCATATATGCTCATAAGAATGTAATACCAATAATGAAAATTCCTTCTCTTATTATAAAAGTCAATTAAAATTTGACTTTTATTTAAGAATGGAAAAAATCATAAGGGTACGAACGATACTTAATTTTACTTTATTCTACTTATAGAATCTAATAAACTCTAACATTGTTTTGAAAATGTATGATTATTATGTAAAACGCCTTACTTCAATCATTTCTGGACCTCAACGAAATTATCATATTTTCAAATATATATATATATATATATATATATATATATTATTACGAATTTATATTTATCTTTGAAAGCATTAGTTTTATAAAATAACAAAGGTACGACAGTTACTTTATTGCTAATTAATTTTTTTTATTATCATTCCAAGTCTTATAGAATATAAAATCTTTTCATTTAATCCAAAATAAGTGCCCGCAAGCTACACATTAAAATAATAAATAACTGGACGCTTCATTAATCGGCAATAATAATATATAATGAGATTAAACACTATGTGAATAAGTAATTAATGTTTCTCTCATTGGAATAAACAAAATATATTATTGATAAACCTAATGTTATGCAGTTACGCGCGTTTGAAATAAATCAAGTGAATAAAATTCAAATTTTATTATCTATCTTTAGTAATCGTTATAAGGCATGGAAAAAAAAATGTGTAAGCCAAATTTTTGATAAAACCCCTCGTGAATTCACGAGAATATTCAATTTTATATTCATGGCATTTAAAGAGACAACAAATGTGACTGAGTCTGGACGAGCAGTTGACTCAACTTAATAGCAAGACAACGATGTATGACTGACACAACTATTTTTATAAGTAGATCTATTGCAACAGTTCAAACATTTTTTCGACTTGGTATACAGTTAATTCTGTCCCCCTCATATGTTTCAATACAAAATACTATATTATGCCCGACGAGAACCTTTACTAATGTTGATCTTGTTATGCAAAATTTATAGGGTTTTGGTTTGGACATTGAGAGTGGCGGAATACGAAGACTCTCGTATCCTTATTATTATATAAAAGAATATGAATCGCTAATTTTAACCAATATATTTATAGATATATGTATTAATTAATATTGTTTCTAATTGGAAGTATTTAATTTTATTCTGTGTTAAGGATGCTTCCGATGCTCGGCAATATGTCAAGAATTGAACAAACATCTGATCAGAAAAACATTATTTACCCCCGTTTTTTTTGTTTTTTGTTTTTTTTTTCATATGAATGCTAATAGGTGATGAAACGCACTATGAGTAATGCGACCTTGGAAAAAAAAAAAAATAAATAAATAAATAAATAAAAAAAAAATAATGATTATATAATGTCAACATAATGGAAATGTATTTTCAACGCTTTTAAGCTGATACATTGAAAAATATATTGGCAGATAATACTTATATCATAGATTTCTTATGTTAGGCACATTTCTATTTAATGAATTAGTCGGAACACCTTCATATCGTGTTTGTGATTTCATACAAATTAAAATGCTTATTCTACATGACTTATTCTTCGAGTAAATCGGTGCTTCGATTGGTTGAAAAATCACTGGACTGACATAACATGTCATTTGCTTGTTGCTAAACGATATTTAAAACACAATGTTAGCGATGCTCGATTGACTGACATGAATGGCATACACGCTGTATTTCGCTGTATTTTCGCTTCGTCATGCTCTTTATCGATGATTTTTCGTCATTACAATTAGAAAATCAACACGCTTTGCGTTTATATATACAAATCAATTACGAATCTTATCGTTTAAATATACATAATTCGTATGGTATGGTTTGACCATACATTTGACCAGACAGGATTAAGTACGATGTAGTATTTACCTAGCAGTGGATAAAATCGATATCGATCGGACGTGCATTATATGCACAACTTATTTACAGTGGAAATTTATACTATTTACAACAATATTATTCATTAATATAGTTATTTATTAGGTGGATGTATGCAAATAAAATTACTGTATTACTGAGTAACATGCATGAACTGCCAATTCGTTTATATTCACATAGAAATAACAAATACGTTAAAATTAGCTACGTTAATAAGCTCAATAGTCGTTAATAATTGAAATATAAATAAACATGACATGATAATAATAGGAATTTTCATTTTTATAGATATTGATGAAAAGTTTGAAGTGATAAATAAAAATAGAGAGAGAGAGAGAGAGAGAGAGAGAGAGTTATAAATAAAATTATAATGGACATGGAATGTATTTCTATAGGAACAATTTCCATAGTTGGATTGAGATGATATTCAGCTTTATTTTTTTCCCATACTAAAACAAAGCGTTCAGTTTATGGTTCAACTTATGGTATATAAAAAACGACGATTACGCGGATATTGGCTTAAGGTTGATTTAAAAAACACTATGCATTATACTTTAGGAAATAGCAAATAATTATCAAAAAGTCCATATTTTCAATGGCCCATTGCGTATAAAGATGTGACCGTGTGAGGGATGATTGACGGCGGAAAGTGATGATGGCGGGGAAGAGGCAATAGGAGGCGGGGTAGACGAAACAAGTGAAAAAGCACTGCCTAACGGTGAAGTGGTAATTTTCGCTGGATTTACCAAAGTTCTTGCAGGTTCTTCTTACCCCCACCACTGCAAGCTTACTATAAAAGGTCGCCGGCATGTTGTCGGCAAAGATGCGGCGCTCCAAAGCTCACCGCAAGTAATTTGAGATTGGCTGAGTGGCGAGCTTTTGCTTCTTTCTTCTCCTCTATTTCTTCCTCGCCGTCTTTTTCTTCATCTTCATCTTCTTGATCCGCTTGATCTTCTTCTCAGTCATTACACGCATCTTGGCTATACGTTCTAAGCGTTTTGCATGGAGTGTTTTTACTCGAAAATATACAGAGTAAATTTGTCGGCTTAGAGACGTTTCACTCGAATCACTGATTTAAGCGTCGAGTACTGCAGCTAGTTTTATCACGCAATTAGTGTAATTGACATTGATATTTGACGTGTTGCACTGTATTTGTAATTCATTTTTTCATTCGCTAAGAAAATCCTGTATTATCTAATTATTGTATAGTATATTATCGTGTTATTAAATTAAAACTTGGAACGAAATCAAAGCTCTTTGCGAAGAGTTGTAGAGTAAGCTATGAAAAGTATTTGGTAAATACATAATCCGCCAACTGACCCAGAAAAACTCACAAGTTTTTCGATATTTCTTAAAATTCGAATGAACAATACGTTAACTATTTCTTATTATCTTATGACTTTTTATACTAAAAATACTGTTGGATTCATAACAACATGCAATGGAAAGTATATTTAGCAATATTTACGTATCTTGAAAAACAGTCAAGTAAATTGCAGATATATATCACGTAAATTTGTATTGTGCAATGTTTCATTTAGATCTCTAAACAACTGAGCACAGAAATTGTCTAATACTTCATATTGTACTTATCTGCCTTGAATCTTTCAAATAATCTTTTTCCTCTGATTTTATATGCCACTAACTATTCTATAAATTATCTCA